CCCCAAAACCCCAAAACCCCAAAACCCCAAAACCCCTAAATTCTTCTCAAAGTTGATTTCATAATCCAATTTCTACTTATTAATGGAAAATGTTCAGAAGGCCTCAAATGCCTTTGAAATGCTGAGTGAAGACATCTGGGACGATTCTGATCTCACAGTTAGCGAAGAGAGTAGCGAATACAAGGTAGTACAACTGCCTAAGCTGACAAGGCAATTCACTAACACCCTCAAGGATAACAAGGGTAAACTTAGAGCAGAAGCCCGGTGTGACTTTGTATTTGAAAACTCTATCGTTCAAAAACACTCATCCGTTAAGAATGTACAAATCAGATCCGTTGACAAAGAACAGGAGATGCATTTTGACCAGAAAGAGAACAGAAAGGAATACTCCCAAGATGTCTGAGCTAAGAAGAATGTTAAAAAGGCTGTTAGCACAGTCCGTGAAAAGAATAATTTACTTTGAGACCTCAGAGAGACACCTTCGTGTGAGATTCTTAAAATGATCCTTTAAACCATGGGGCAGTGCCAAGCAGGCTTGCCTACATACGTATCAATCCTTATATAATAGTTAATAAGACTTGTTCATAAATCTGCATTGGGTTGGGTAATGGGCGGCCACTTCATTTAGCCTCAAAATTGAATTTCTTGATGCTAAAGTTAGTTAACTCTCCGTTGTTAAAATTTCAGTTATTCCGATCAAAGTAGAATTTACCCCGTTAGGTCCAAATCAAGACGAAAAATTGACATCCCGCCTTATGCGGGGGTTTAGAAATTTCGGAAATCCTTATTGAAAGCAGCTTGGCGATATCATTTTTCGAAATTGTTCATAATTTTTACTTGATATTTTCTTTCTGAGAGCAGAATTCCCTTCACCAAATAGGGGTAAAATTCAATACAAATCTCAAAGAGGATATAGCCTGGTTGAGGCTGGTTTAGTTGATCTCAAGTGATACAGGCCAAAGGCTTTGTGCACAAGAGGAAGAGAGTTTTTGGAGAGTTTAGAAGCCGTTTTAGGGAGATTTTTATTTGATAAAAATAAAGGAGATTTGTGAGGAATTGGATTTTGGTGCTATTTTTGGCTTAGAGGGGTAATTAGAGCGGGTTGGAGGTGTTATTTGAGGAGATTATTTGATTCTGCATCAAATGAGTATAAGTAGACCTGATAGGAGAAATTAGTAATCAAAATTTTGAGGAGTTAATTGTAGATTAAAAATTGAGGGTGAATAGGACCTGAATGAGTCGTTTTGCTATGTGTTAAATTTTAACTTTATCTTAGTATTGATCCCTATGAAAACCAAATAGAGAATTTCCTTCACCTATATCACGAATTGTCCTCCAAAAATCTGGCTTGAAACCTTGCTAAAACCACCTGAATCCCCATCTGGACCCCAAGAGCTCATTCTTTCTGCTTTAAGTTTCACAAAAACAGCTCAAAATCCGATTCTCTCTCAAAACCCCCTGTTGCCAAACCTCGGTGACCGAATCCCCATTTGGATGACCTCAACCAGAGTGACTTGGCCAGCCTTGTCAAACCCTCTCGAACTTTCTGAAACCTGTATTTCCTTCCAAAAAGATTTTACATCTCAATTCGAAATATTTCAGAATTTGAAAAATTCTGAGATATAGATATAGGTAATACGGCTCTCCTCAGTTCAATTTCAACAAACAGCAGCCAAGCCCTGAAGGGGTTCTGAGGGCCAGAAGAGGGTAGCACTAAACTTGATGACGTATTAATGAGCAAAATCGGCTTTCTTATTAGCCAGATGCCCCACCTCCCTGCTTTCAAACTAAGAGTTTAGAAATTTTGAAAATCTGAATCAAAAGCGGCTCAAATTTCCTTAAAATTCTATCGTTTTATGAATTAAGTAAGATTTTTGAGATTTTAGAGAATTAATTTAAGAATTTCTCACTTGGATAATAATTAAGTCTCTAGTTTGGGGTTTTGGGGTTTTGGGGTTTTGGGGTTTTGGGGTTTTGGGGTTTTGGGG